GCATGTAAACAGACACGGGCAGGCCAAGCAGAGCGGCACAGGAGGCGCGGAGAGGATGGGAGGGGACACGGGATCCCGCTCAGCCCCAAAGCTCCACTGCCCTGTCGATGAACTCCCCCCCCCCCCCCACCACTGCTGCCCCCGCTCCAGGCCAGGCAAGCATCCAGGGCCAGCTCACTTACACCCCCATGACAAGTGAGAGAAAAGATGGAGGGAGCCGGCGGAGGAGGGGCAGAAATAGCCATCAGGAACGATTCTAAGACTTTGGCAGCAGCGTGTGTCAATAGCTGGAGGGTCCCTGCGGAAGCGGGAATGCCGTGTGGCCGGACCGGGAATGCCGTGTGGCCGGCCCGGGAATGTCGTGTGGCCGGACCGGGAATGCCGTGTGGCCGGACCGGGAATGCCGTGTGGCCGGACCGGGAATGCCGTGTGGCCGGCCCGGGAATTCCATGGAGCCGGACTTATGCCTGATAGCAACTGGGTAGTAAAACCAGCACAGAACAGTGATGTCTGTCCCCTGAAAGATGGTCAGATGAGCTCTCCCAGTACGTAGAGGGATCAAACCAGGGCAGGAAGAGGTGTCCAGTCTTAGGATGCAGACATGCAAGGAACAGTGCAGCCGACCAACACATCAAACATGTAGCCAATATGGCAAGTCGATATAATAACATATATATGTTCTGTCTTCATATATCAAATTTGTCTTGATTGAAAATTGTGCACTCAGTAATCTGCTTGTGTTGGCATTTATTAAGTCATATACAGTATATGTATAGTTTGTGAATGATATAAAAACTATATAGTTAAAATATAAAGATGTGGGATATATATTTTGGTGACACAGCACGCCGACACCGGCTGAGCGAGGAGGTGGCTGGGTCTTGGCTTCTCACTGCCGTCACTGACGGCCGGCTGGCTCCGCTCCAGGCCCTCCCTCTCGCCTGACCTGGAGTTGAACCTCATTAACCGGGACACAGAGAAGCGTGGGGGGGTTGGGGGTTTGAGGACGGAAAGATATTTTGGTCTCCTTTCACAGTGACCTGCAGTACTGCCCGATAAGGCGGCAAAACTTAAAGAGTGAGCAAAACGCCTGATAACAAAGGGCTATTCTTATCCTGCGAGCAGATGCGGGACACGGCGCAGGACACGGCGCAGGATACGGCGCAGGATACGGCGCAGGCTCCTTTGCATGGTTTACAGGCCATGGCACAAAAAGGGCCTCGAGCTTGCCGGATTAAAAAGACGCTTTATCACGTGTTTTCATTGCCGTTGGCGGCTCGACCTGTTTCTCCTCCCGTGACTATTGTATGCCGTGGATATTTGCAGAAGGAGCTTGCGTTAAGCTCTTCGCTCAAGGGTTCATCAACAGGCCGCTCCTGGGAGCGATCACGGGACCCCTTCCTTAACCGTTAAGCCACCAGCTGACTTGCGTCTGATTTTGGGCCTACTGACATGCAACACGCCATTTTGCTCAATTCCAGTGCGTCTGCAGCCCCTGGTTTCTGGCTGCGTCATTGTTTACAGACGTGGGCAGTTGGGCGCGAGCGGGGGATTGGAGGTTGGTAAGCGGTGTCCTCGACGGCAGTGTAATTTGCAAAGAATATGGCTGCTTTCTATCCGCGCTTCAGGCAAACGCTATTAAAAGCAGCAACTGCGTCATTTCTGAAAACAAGCGCACTGCACATGCTTCTCTTTAAACAATCAGCTTTATGCAAATTAGGTTGTATTAAAGAATAAAAAGACCCCGTGACGGCGAGCGGATCCGAAACGTACGGAGACCTCAAGGCTCGCCAGTCGCAAGTAAGTAGAAAGAAAGGAGAACAGAGGAGCTGACAGAGGACAACATTCTGTCACCAGGCCTGTCGAGCCCCCCTGGCCCCTGGGTGCCCCCTCCTCGTCTCGCCAAAGCCCGCCCTGGGCAGACGGCACGCTCCGTCCGCCTCGCGCCGCTGGCTCCGACTGGCCGGCGCCGGAGCCCCTCCTCGCCCCCGGTCACGAGCGAGGTCCCGGAAAGCCCGGAACAGTCCGGCCTTTGTGGGCCGGCTGGAGAGGCCGGCAGGGCCGTGATTAAATGACCGCAGCCTCAGATTCAAGCCAGATGTAGGAATTCCAGCATGCCGTTCTCTGCCGCCGCTGCCAGGAGAGAGAGAGAGGGATTAGGGGGGAGGTGTGGTTAAAAACTGCTCCTGCTCAACCACACAGGCCCTTTGTTTCACTGTTACCCTGAAGGTGGAGGAAGGGGGCGAGGGGGGGGCGGCTATCTTGGTCTCTGCAAGCCCCGAGGTGACAGATGTATAGTCATTAAGGAGACCATCAAGGAGAACAGGCAGCGCAGAGGACGCCCCTGTCATACACGGTCCAAGGACCCGAGCTGGCTTCCAACCGTGGCAGCAGGCCTGATCTAGGAAGCAGACGTCAATTAGCCAACTCCCTAACCTTACTCTGACTCAATAAATCTCCATTAAAACTCTGCACTTGTGACTCTCCTAAGCCATTTTGACTAAATGAAAATTCACAAAATGTATCCGCCTGGAAAAGTCATGCTAACCAATGCTGGGGAAATACTCTACGCGACTTCATTTTTTCCATTTTTTTTTACCAGTTATACCAGTCTCTTCATTTTTCTATTTTATTTTTTTAGTTCCCCCACTCACTGCAAAATTTGGCTAAGATTCACCCAGCACCCAAGCGAGCTGAGGTGGGTTTGGAAAAACACGCAGACACGCAATCCATCAACCTCTCCTGCTCCGAGGAGAAATCAAAGTGCAGGCCAGCTTCTGAAGCTGTTTCACACGGAGACCAAAGGGGACAAATTGCTGAGTGAGGATTTTTCTCCCCCCTCCCACTTACGCCTTTGATTTATGAGCAGATATGGGTTTCATTTCAGCTGTCTCACTTTTATTAGGCTTTATCTACAAAGGGCCGCAAGTTCGTTAGCGATGTGACACGTGTCCTGAGCTCGTGCTAAACCTGTTCCATATGAAAGGTGGCCACGGCAGAGCCGCACGTCACCACCTGCGTGGTGGAGCACGTTGCCGATGGTCCTGCTACCTCACCTGAAGACTGTCAACCAATAGCTGCTTGTTCTTGTTGCCTGGGTGACCAGGGTCTGTGACACAATGACCCGGTCGGTATCTCGCACAAACTAAGGTCACACTGAAAACATCTCGGAACGTTTTAGGAAGAATGCACGAGGCAGTGCACGGTGTCATGTTCTTCTAGACAGTCAGGGGATTCTCTTCGGTCTATATCAGTTTTCAAGAGCACAATTTTTTGGGGGGGGGGTTGACCGGTTGGACAACCAATAACGCTCCCTTGGTTTTCTAGCCACTTGGTGGTGGGTTTCTGGAATCTTAGTTGCAGAACACTCCTGGCTGCCATGGACATGCCGTGGTGCACTGCATTTATTTACTTTTGGGTGTATCTGGGGGCTGTGTGCTGGCTGTCAGATGTAGGGAGGTGCAGAGGTCACAGGGTCCCCAGGAGGGGGCCAAGATTTGAAAGAGGTTTCTTGTTGTCCCACGTCAGCCAGGGCATGATGTAGGCCTGGGCAACTCATTGTACCACTCTGATGAAGGCTGCTTGTGTTGGCCGTTGTCGGCCTATAAATCAAGGCTAAATTACATGGCACCCACCCCGGCCCACCCTGCATTCGTCCTCCCGGTCTACCAGCAAATGCATTCTGCTATGCGCTTGGCTAACAAGATGCCTATCCCTGTGTTTTCATCCACAAGCTTCAGCGTCTTAGCCAGAGTGGTCGAGTGCAAAGGCAAGAGTCTGAGCCGACGGCCACCGCCCCGTCCGGCAGCCATCCGTCTTGCTCCTGCTGACCCCTGGATGCCGTCTAATCTTTGAGGGATGGCCAGCATAAATCTGACGCCTTTTCAACGGCTGTTAAGTTCCCTGAGTTATTTGGCCCACAGGGTCAAGAGAGCTATTAGACACCACGGAGATCTTCTGGACCTCATGCGGAGATGGAGCTGCAGGCGAAGGTGGTGCATGACGTTTCCGGTGCATCCGTAGAGGAAAAGCGAGCCCTTATGAGGGAAGGGGCGGGACTTCCTTTGGAAGGCCTTAGGGGCGTGGTCAGGGTGATGCATGCAGTCACATGACCATGTGCGCTGGACCGTATGTCCCCAGCAGCTGAGTGCTCAACCTGAAGGAGCTCATTTGTCACCTTGTGGGCTAATTAATCCAGCCAGAGGGACCCCCTGTGTCTGTGGGCGACCTTTGACCCCTGAGGTGTGGAACAGGCAATTACTCTTTTAGGCTTCTGTGCACACAGTCTGCCGCCGTGTTCCTGGGCACATTGAGTGTGTGTGTCAGTTTGGGCAACAAAACTAGGCATGTGTTCCCGCACCCACGCCAGCAGGTGGACGGCCCCGGTCGTTTCCCAGCATGCTTGGATATCCTGCCCTTTCATTCCATGTTGACGGCTGTGTGTTCTGTGTGGGATCCTGGGTACACTTGCCTGCAAATGCACATCACAGCACCCAGAAATACTAGCTAATATACTATCTGTTTCCTTGCACTTTATTAGCTTAAAAAAGTTAAAAATGAAAAAACAGACCTTTGAAACGCATCAGTTGATTGAGGACACTTCGGTGGTTGAGAGCTATGGGAAATCAGCAGCTCTCACAGTGATTTAAAAATATAATTCAAAACTGAAACCGTGACGGAAAGGGCCCTGGTTCGGATTCCAGTCGGCCACCAGCTGCCGGACCTTGGAGGAAGGCGGTTGCTTTGTAGAAACAAAAAATCCAGCTGTCCAAATAGCCAAAAGTGAACAATTTCAGGCTACGTGGCCTCCTAAAAACGCAATAAAAAATAATTAGTCAAACTGCCGCCGTTAGCATCACCAGGCAGTGTGA